TCAATAATCTTTCAAAACACACACACACACACACACACACACACACACACACACACACACACCCTTAGATGACCAAGAGGCTTGGTGTTTAACGAATAACTCTATAAAGACTCCGTTTACAAATGAATTTCGTTGTAACTTGTTCATTTCTTAAGCATATTCATGAAAGGCCTGGCTTTCTACAAAATGAGAATTACTTTTTGAAGGATGAGGAGTTAGCTTTGTAACAAAGTAGGAAAGAAGAAGTAGGTATCTTTAAAAACAACCAATGATTCTGAAATGTCATTTTGCTCCTCAGAATGACTCTACTCAATCCACAGTCAGCAGCATTTCCGATAAGTAAGGAGAGGAGACAGTCATGGCTGCCATGTGTCAAATCTACCAGCTCCTCAAGGCTCAAATGATGGATGGGTAACAGAGTCTCACATATTTTGGAAGCTAGATAGAGTGATAGCACCTGAATTGCCTGCTCTCAGTTTCCCCATCATTTCTTCCAAGATTACCCAGCTAACATTCTTTGTTCATTCCCCATTTCTCCATCCCTGGGACTTTTCAAAGCAACATCTCACTCTGTGTTCTTGATTCTCTCTGTTTATGACATTCTACATATGGATTGTCCCCACTCCCCCTTAATCCCCAATTTAGGGAGTAGACCTAAGAAATTTAAGTCTAGTACTTGAGTTATTCCCCTTGCAAGAGACAGGATCAGAATGCAGGGAAGACGGGCGCTGTGGGCTGGTGGCTAGTGGGATGGCTGACAAGGAAGACAACCCGAACATTGAGGAAGAAAATGAAGAAATTGGAGGAAGTGCAGAAGGTGGACAGGGTAAAAGAGAGACTTTTTTCTAAAGAATTACAATGTGTGATGTATGGGTTTGAGGATGACCAGAATCGGTACACTGAGTCAGTGGCTATTCTTGAAGACCTTGTCACAGAGTTCTTCACTGAAATGACTCCCAGGGCAATGTCAACTGGCAGACAAGGTTGAGTACAAGTTGAAGATATCATCTTCTTTATTTGAATGGACCCAAGGAAGTGTGCTAGGGTTAAAGACTTGCTTACCATCAATGAAGAATTGAAACGAGCAAGAACAGCACTTGATGAAGCAAACTATGGATGATCTTGATAATTTTTGTACTTAATGAAATTTCATTTATCTTCTGTGGGAATCATAATAATAGTGTATTTTGTACAGTAATGTCCTAATATCTAGGCATGTCAATACAAGATGGATATACAGAGTTTTCAGCCATTATTTTCATGTCTTTGATTCTAGAGTGATCCTTGAACCTCTAATTGACTTTGCATGACTATACTTGAATTACTTAGTGAGTTTTAATGACTACACAGAAGTTAAAGTACCTTACAAATGATGCAGGTCCTTCTGACTTCTGACTACCTAGATAAAGGATGAAGGAGTATTTATGTGCTAATGGTAAGATAAGCAGTTCAGAATGGAGGGATGTTCTCAGAAACAGGAGAGATCATGTGCTGAGACGACTGCCAGACATTGGGTCACCTCCTCCCACCTCCTTGGGACAAGGCCCTTACACGTGGGAAGGCTGCTAGCATTCCAGTTGTTCTCACACAGTGTTTCCCTGGAACGTCGTAGTGCAACTTACCTGATCTGACTGTCTCTGCTTCCGCCTTCCCTGGTCCTGGACATGGGTCGGGCTCCTTCACTGTGAAAATTGCAGATTTGTGCCATTATAAGCTATCCTATAGCTGTTTAATATGTGAGATCAAAATGTCATTTTGACTATCACAGCTGAAACATATGCCTTACATATTCTGAAGTTTTTAGACAACAGTGGTCTGAGATATTACTAAAGAGAATAAACTGGTTTTTTTCTTTTAAGGAGATGATATTTGAAACTATAAATTTTTGTAAGAATGTTTATGTGTCTTAAATGATAATTTGTTTTAATATTTTCTAAAGAGTGAATTATTTATTTATTTATTTATTTATAGAAACTTAAAGTTTCATATTGATGCTTCCATGTTGAAAGACTTTTTTGATTTAAGACCTTTTGGGACTTAGGTTACTTTTTAAGTTTTAAAACTCATTTTCGCAATCATCTACTTTTAGTAACAGGAATGGCAAGGTCTAATGAGCTAATGGTAGGATAAGGATTTGAGATTGTTTTTTAGAATCTTTTTAAACATATTTGTAAGTACTTGTGGAAATGTGTAGTTGACTAAAACCAGATGTAGATATAAAAACCACTTTTGTAGTTCAGATGTAGATATGAAAACCACTTTTGTAGTTCAGAGTATACAGGCTTTGTGTGAATATAGCTTACTGCACTAAATTATTGCCCTTAGCTTAAAATAAGGATTAAAATTGCATTTAAAGAGATCGCTGAATGTTACTGTTTATGAAACTGAACTTTTTGATTCCACTTATAAATAGAATCTATAAATAAGTACCTGAGAAAATTTTAGTTTCTTAACCTATTAATACAAGGAAAGAAGTATAAAAAAATTAAACAGAAAAAAAATGGAAAGAAAATGCATGCAATCGCTTGATCACATTCAGTGCTCCAGTGGCTCTGCAGCTAGCTGTGCTAAAGGGAAATCCTTTCTGACCCCTCTACAGTGTGGCCTGCAGATCCTGGTGACTGGCATCAGCTCCACCCTAAGGAGCACAGATGCACAGACCAGCTCAGTCAGAACGTGCATTTCCTACAGGGTTCCCAACAGAGGGTCTATTAGACTTAGAGAGTCTGGGTCTCTACTTAGTCTGCTGCTCATTTCCCTGCCTCATGTGCCTTCCAAGAACAGTCAGGTTTCCTATTGATGATGTTCCCCAACCTGGGGGTGAGAAGAAGACCTTTCTCCTTCACTTACTCGCTGTCTCTCTCTGCCTTTCACAATGTTTCTTCCCCCTTCTCCTGTCCAGATTCTCCAAAGTAGGGGTTAGACACTTATGGATTTGGGTATAAGCATTTGCATACCATTCCATTCCCTATCCCGCTGAGTCTGCCCTCTGTGCATCATCTCAGCTAAGCAGCAAGAATGTCTACGATATTGTTTTATATAAACATACGACTACACACATAGTTTCATGAACATTTCAGTTTCAAAAAGAAACCAAATTAAGCCAATCCACCAAAAAAACACTGTTTTTATTCGTGATCAGTTCTCCACATGTGAGTTCCTTTTTAGTGACAACTAAGGCGGAAATGAGTGGTTAGAAATATGTTAGAAAACATATTCACACCTTGAGGCACGGGCATAACTGCAAACTCCCATGTTCTTTCCACACCTTGAATATAGTGGTCTTTCCCATCTGGCACGTGGCTGAAATTTCCCTGCCTCCACGGCTTCTTTTCCTTCATTTACTTGCTGTTTTCTCTCTCTCTCTACCCTTCTCAGTATTTATCACCCTTTCTCCTCTGCACTGCATGATTTCCAACTCCCCTGTGATCTGTGTGTGTCTTGTAGAGAAACTAAAAGGGACACCCTCAGTGTAACCTGTAGCTGGACTCTGGATCTTAAGAGAGTTGTCAATTCTACCTGTTTACTAGGTTCATTTCTCAAAATATTAGGGTAATCAGTGCTCTTATTAGAAATCGATATTCCGCCCCCAGAACTGTGTAGAGGGTGTTGTTCTTACCACAGTCATGTTCATCTGCTTTCTCTTTTGCTTTATAATGTTTCTCTCCAGATGATTGAGATATGCGCATCTGCGGATGAGCCTCAGAGAGTATCTGCAAAATGAATGACTCCAATCATGTGCATGAAGATTTCATGACCACCCTTTTAGACATCACCCAATTTTTGGTCTTGAAAGCAGCTAAATAAAATGTAGACAATTAGAGATTGAACAGGCATAATTTCACTAGGGCAAACAAGGATTTCTGTTTCAGATAAAGCCGAATCTCCCTATGGCTCTGGATTTGGTAAAACCAGGACGGAGGTCACAGAAAAGGCATCCCCTGACAACACACTAACAGAGGTGTACATACCCTAAAGGACAGAAGGAACAAAATTCATTGTAACTCTCCCTCCTTCCCATTCCCTATCACATGTATGAAGGTTTTCAAGTCTTGTTTAAAAAGAGTTTTGAAGAATATGCTTGATATTACGTGGGATTACACATCGTAAACACTGGACTGACAAAGTTTTCATTTTGAAATATGAGACTTCGCAGTGTTCACTTGGGGATCTGACTCTGGAGTCAGACCCCTGCCCAAGGACCCACACGTGCAGGCAACGTGACATGCATCTAGATGCCTGCTACCTAAACCTCGCCCTGGGAATGCTGGCAATGTCAGAAAACATGGTGAGACGGCATCTCCAAATTCCATCATTCCCCCATTACTACATCCAAATACATTTCTTTAACACACACTAAAGACATTTGATCAAAATAGTCAACATATTGATGGATTTTCTGCCTGCATGAGAAACTAAATGGAAAGGCTACCACAGAATAAAAATCGTTCAGCGTGGAGCGAATGACGAGTGATTTTCACCAGGATGTTGAGCATTTGGCAACCATCACCCCTCCACAGGAAAGCATTCAGTGGCCATCACACTTACACCACCCACAGTCCAGGGGCTTATTCTTCAGTGTCAAGTTTCATCTCAACATTTTCCATTTCAAGAAGCTAACTCACATGGAAGGACAAGTGGCATTTAGAAATGATTTGCCTCTATCACTAAAAAAAAGTTTAGCTCTAAGTTGACGTGATTTTTAATGGTATTTTCAGATTAAGGGGTTTTTTTCAAGTTAAGTCATATGATGCTTGTCTCCTAAAACACTATTTGAAAGGTATTTTCACCTGGCCTCGTCTACTTTCTTTAGGAAGGAAAACAAGAGGAACCCAGGAATAAAGGATTGGCATGTTGACGTACCTGTGGCTGGTTATGTAGAGTGTCATCAGAACTCTCCTGCTCTTCCTCTGAAGTCACATCAAAAAGGTTCTCTGCTGACAAGTGAATACATTTACTCA